GAATTCTAATTCACTGCACTCGGTCCAACAATTTCTGAATGCTATATTTCTGTCAGTTTGTTTGGTGTTTGTTGTTGTTGTTGTTGTTGTTGTTTTTGGAACTCCAAACTTAATTCTTTAGTTTTGTGTTTATTTCCTTAGGTGTATACTCCATATTTAAAGAAAATGTGTTTATTTCCTTAGGTGTATACTCCATATTTAAAAAAAATTAAAAGAATCGACACTGTTAAAAGTAATATAAGAAACTCGCATAATGTTGCGAAACGTGGCCACAGAATGCACAAATAAAACTCAATGAAAAGAGATCAGTAGGCAGTAATTGATTTGTAACCTTATTGAAGTAGTGAAACAGTGATATAGCGTTACACTAGCGACCTGTCAAATGTATATATCAACAAAGCAGAAAATCGTAAAAGAAAAAAAAAGATGAACAGGTTGTGCATACCACATGTATAATACTTATGTCCTTGCAAACATGCACTTCGTCACAAATGTGTGACCCCTTCTCCTCATGTGCGTGACGTCATTTATGGACGGCGTTTATGTTTGTCGAGTCATTATATTTATGTACATGTAGTACATAGCAATATGAAATCAATATTGTGATATAACAGGATTGAATTCTTGTAAATATGCTTTTTAAGACCTATGTCACAAGTTTATTAAGGTGTTCACTCTAGCAAGTTTCAAAACACTGTCTTTTTTAATACCTGCATAGATGAGCCTATAAAAGCTAGTTTGTTATGATCAGTGATCATGGCGACTAGCAACAATAATGGAAGCTGTTGTATTCTATATAGACTGACAATTTATCCCCAAAGGACAAAATAGAAATAAAAGCCATTAACAGGTCCAAGATACAACAGGTTTGTCAAACTAGAAACAGTAGTAGTACTAGTAGTAGTAGTAGTAGTAGTAGTAGTAGTAGTAGTAGTAGTAGTAGTAGTAGTATGTTAATTGTTTCTGTGCTGTGACCTTGAGACCACGTGTGTACATCATGGCCATGGTCCAGGCGTCTCCTTGACAACCTCTTTGACGTGTGTTGAAACATTGCTTAAAGATCATACACTAATTACACAGAAATGTTCAGACATGTAAGACTTGTGTCTTTGGGTTTATTTATTTTATGTACACTATCCTCAACCCCTGGCCTTCCCACTGTAAGTGGATCAGAATTAAACATCTATTCTGTATAACCCTCCCTCAACCATATCAAAATTAATATGTTAATAATATATTGGACGGTGTATCATATTTCAAAGATACATCAATGACATGTTTGATGGTGTATCATCTGCCATGGATATGTCAATGATATATTGGACGGTGCAGGGGAAGTATTGCGACAAATTAACCTGATTAAAATTATACAATCATCTAAAAAATTGTGTCCCCATGCCTTCAACTTCGGCTGCATGGGAACGGAGAAAAATTATAAGAACCATTGTGCACGTCCATGGATCATCCCCAAACTTTTCCCGTGGTTTAGTCTCCATCTGGAACGATGTATATCCGGTCAAGATTAACCCCATTTTTTCGAAAATGACATGGATAATAATAATAATAATAATAATAATAATAATAATAATAATAATAATAATAATAATAATAATAATAATAACGATGAAATGCGGAATTTAGATCGATTATATGACATGTTTTACAATTTTAATACTGACAAAGAGGGTTTTCTATTTAGCTGAATATTGTAAAAAGCTAATGTCATACCTTAATCAACACCTAAGTGCAGAATAGCCAGTCTTCTGGAAGTATGCCTCTGCTGACTGGATCCAAAAGTCTTGGAGATCTATAATACAGTTAAGTTTAATGTTCTTATTGCCGCTACTGCTGCTAATCATGTCACATCTAATCCATTAAATTACGATGATAATCTCGTAAATGACAGCAATGGATGTGGCAAAGGCCAGTGGTCTTATTGAACATATTTTCAGTGAGACACAATGTACTCAACTTGGCATTTAACGCCTTTTTAAACATGACATTTATTTATAACTTTTGCCCTTCAGAAACATATGTCTAAAATCAGTGAGCTGACATTTTACATGTCATTACAAATATTTGGATTCTAACTAATGCTTGATGAATGAATGTTCTATTTAATTCATGTATTTTGTTTACTAAAATGGCAAGAGTTATAAAAAAAATTGAACTTGGTGGAAGTTTGATAATTATAGCCTATTATTAAAGAAAAATATGAAACACGTTTAATTCTTTGAGCTTACTTCGAACATAATAATTATTTATGTAACCATCTTTTATCCCTCGGTTTGAACATTTTTAAAGTATGTACACATTACCTTTGTTTTCTCGTTATTTACCTTCCTTGTTTCGCGGCTCAGATATTCCGTTACGCATGAACTCCATGTTGTTGTTTTTTTCAAACTTACTATAGCATGCCGAGTTTAGTGAAGACTTTCGGATTCAAAGTTTTATATTACGTTAGGCACAATGAGATGAATGTACTTTAAAACATAAAATTAGGAATGAGTCTATGGCTTGTATGTGCAATATAATTACGACATATTATCACTGAATACTCTAGAAATACACTTGTATATACGTTTTACTCCCATGTAGACTATGTTCTGCAATTCCTATAATATTTTTTATGATATTTCTATTAAGCTGTATATTATTAGAAGTTAGCCATGTTTGTCCCATACTGTAAGTATATTAGAGCATTCTTAACCCTATTTCACTCAACCCTTTCCATATTTAGTTATCTAAACGCATAAGCCTGTCTCATCTCTGTTCACAACAAATGGACGCAGCATAAATGTTATCAATGGACAGTTTCGTACTCTGGCACATGGCAAATCTCTTAACTAATGGTTATGGTGTGACTTGTTGAGCGCTATTATTGTGTAATAACTAAAGATGTGGATATGTTTGTGAATTTCATCTTTCCGGCTTTTATTGATCTTGATACGGATGTGAGGCATGTTCTCCACATGTAGCCATTGCACTGTATGTAGTAAGTGAAATACCAATAGTTGCGTAGGAAGCAGAGCTAGTCGCTTTATAGCAGTACACTCGTCAGCTCAAGGCCAAATAGAATATCTAAAAAACTGCCTGATTGACAACAATTTTGAATTGAATCAAGTTATTAAGTACACTATGTTTTTTAAAATTATCACCCAAGGAAAAGGTTCGTGTTTCTACTGCGAAAATCACGTATTCTCCAAAAATGGCCCTCGGATATGAAAAATGCATGAATATACTTTGGTGTGTGATGAATCAACGTTTTATTATATGAATTCCCACTTACTTGTCAGGTCAAGTGAATGATATTTTTATGTTTGACTTTATTATTCCTATCCAAAAATATTGACCTTTTTTACCTTACTTATGTATTTTATTTTTTATAAATTTTTATAAGGCAGGTGAATGCAACCTTAAATTTGTGCATAAAAACTGTCCCTTGCACCGTAGGGAGGTAAGCGGCGTGCAGTACGAATAAGAACGAGAATCGCATTATCTAACCATTTTAGCTGTATTTTCGCATCCTCATTTGCTTCAATGTATTGGGGAAAACGCACAGATTGCAATAAACTGGATACGTTCAATTCACGCGCATTATTTCATTTCTGCACATTTACAGATTTTTACATGTTTAGAAATTTAACGAGAAACAGATCACAACATGAAAATAAAGTTGGCGCAAAGATATTTGAAGCAGCACTTTTTCAATAAATTAATTTGACACGCTGGGCGATTGCAACAACCACCTGCAAAACTGGAATGTTATTTTGGGAAATAACCATAGTAATTAATAGCTCCACTATTGTTTATTGTTGAACAATGCATTTGAACTTCTGGGCAGTGACCTAGTGAATACCATCGAACAAGGGAGGGCGATAAAAAGATTTTCGATCCAAACAACCTTTCAGTAAATAACGTTAGGCCTACTGGAAAAGAACATTTAGTACAAGAGAAAATTATAGTACAACCCTTACATGGGAGAAAAGTTTCAAAGATAAACAATTTTTTTATCAAGTTCTCTACGTCACTGATACGTTTCGGCCCAACTACATCCTTGAACATTTTTCCATGGCAAATCAGGATAGTGTTTCGTTTTTTTTTTAAATTGATTTATGGCGGAAGATTGTCGTTAGAGTTCTTAGTCATACCTGTTATGCTCTTTTGATAAATCAAACGTAGCAATACCGCAGCTAATCTATTTCAAAGAAGTGAGTCACTGATGCCTATCAATCTGCCAGATCTGAATCTGTTAAGAACAGGTACAGGTATTTATAGCTACAAAATGAATAATTTCTTCTTCTTCTTCTTTGTCATTATATAACCTTATCTTCCATAAATATATTCCATTGCATAAAAGTGGTTATGACAAATTAGGCAAATTTGAATTTGTTAGGAACAGGCTTTCACAGTGGCCCTAAAATGGTACAGCTTCTTTGGAGGGGAGAAGGAAATACATGCCAACGTACAGACACACAGATGGTTAAATAAACACACATAATCACAGACTAACACTTAACCTTTCAGATCAGCAAATATCCTTTAGAACCGATACGTCTCCTTGCAGATCAACACCTACATATATAGATCACCACCCACCCACCCATATAAATACATGTCGCTGCAGACCAATACTAACTTTTACAGACTAACACACGCACTTCAAGTCCAATTCGCTTTCCTATACACCAACACTCACCTTCACTGACCAAAATGCCAAAGTTCTGAGGGCAATTAATGGCATGATGAACGAAAACTCATCTACAAAAGGAAACACACAACCGTACAAACACAATCACTACCACAAAAAAAAAATTAATGGAGATGGGGAGGGTTTTGGTATGGTATAATGACTAACATACATTCATACAGACAAACACTAATAGAGAGAAAGCATAACTTTTGCTGTACCTTTTTGTTTGGTTTAGTTCTTGGGTGCTTTACGGCAACAGAACAAAAGCAGTTTATTTAGTGCCAAAGCATTAAAAAATAAAGTAACCGTTTCTGTGGTCTAATGGTTAGAGCGTCCGCCTCGAATGCGGGAAGTCGTGGGTTCGATCCCCGATCGAGTCATACCAAAGATTTACAAAAATGGTACTAACATCTGCCTCGCTTGACGCTCAGCATTAAGAGATTAGTGTTACGACTAGTAGGATAATCAATATAATGTGACTTGTTGGGACATCATGCTGCATGTATGCCGCATGGTGCCCAGTGCTGAACATTACTATAAACTGCCATCGTAGCGATATGAATGAAACATTGTTAAAGTTACGTTAAAAATCATAAAAACATCACGTCATTAAAAATAAAGGGCCTTGCACAAAGACACACCACAAAAACTGATAGGATTCGAAACCGCACCTTTCGATTGCAAAACCTAACAACGAGCTGTATATTGGGAGACTGTGAAATACATTTAAAATGTACAAGTAGAAGTCGCGTTATAATAACAATTAACTCAGCAGGATCTAATTTACTGAGGGATCAATGTGTTACAACTGGTCGGATATAATGCACATTTCTAGGGTATAACGTAAATTTCTTGAAATACCGAGGCTCCCGAAGTTTCTGTTATATTTTAACTTGATTTAGCTCAATGCATGTTTGATGAGCACCATTAATTTGTTCACTACTTAATGTAACAAACCAAGGTTACACCCGTTTTTATATTTAAGTCTCCTTTGATAGGTTTGATAGAATTATATTGAATTGTATCTGCTTATAGGGCAGACGTTGTTTATAAAATATTTATCAAAACGGAGTATTTGTCCAAATATAAGAAGAAGGCGTCATAATATACAATAAGCTATGGTAGCGTGAATTAGTTTATAATTTCTTAGTAATCGGAATCCACGGGATATTTTAACGCGCGCACGAGCGCGTTTTTCTTTGATTTTGGATTTTTAACACAGCTTTAACAAATTTTTCAGTCAATGTGAGTTTATACTGTTGTCTAGCACTGAAGCATCATGCCGCAGACATGAAGCTTCATGTCCTACCCACTTATATTTTCCTGGCACCAACCAGTCCTATCACTAGCCTCTTATTGTTGAGTGCTGTATGACTCGGCCGGGGTTCAAAACTGCAACCTTGATGACGCTATAACCACTATCTATCTATCTATCTATCTATCTATCTATCTATCTATCTATCTATCTATCTATCTATCTATCTATCTATCTATCTATCCATCCATCCATCCATCCATCCATCATCCATCCATCCATCCATCCATCCATCCATCCATCCATCCATCCATCCATCCATCCATCTATCTATCTATCTATCTATCTATCTATCTATCTATCTATCTATCTATCTATCTATCTATCTATCCGCTTTCCAAGCCGTAGACATATATTTTACGTCACTGTGTAACAAACATGAACCGGACATCGAATTCCCAGAGTATTCATAGATAGATAGAGAGAGAGAGAGAGAGAGAGAGAGAGAGAGAGAGAGAGAGAGAGAGAGAGAGAGAGAGAGAGAGAGAGAGAGAGAGAGAGAGAGAGAGAGAGAGAGAGAGAGAGAGAGAGAGAGAGAGAGAGAGAGAGAGAGAGAGAGAGAGAGAGAGAGAGAGAGAGAGAGAGAGAGAGAGAGAGAGAGAGAGAGAGAGAGAGAGAGAGAGAGAGAGAGAGAGAGAGAGAGAGAGAGAGAGAGAGAGAGAGAGAGAGAGAGAGAGAGAGAGAGAGAGAGAGAGAGAGAGAGAGAGAGAGAGAGAGAGAGAGAGAGAGAGAGAGAGAGAGAGAGAGAGAGAGAGAGATAGATAGATAGATAGATAGATAGATAGATAGGTAGGTAGGTTGGTAGATAGATATATAGATGAATTGTTACGTATATGGAATTAAATTACTTGTGTGCTAAATTAAATTACTTGTGTGACATCGAATTCACAGAGTATTCCTAGATAGATAGATAGATAGATAGATAGATAGATAGATAGATAGATAGATAGATAGATAGATAGATAGATAGATAGATAGGTAGGTTGGTAGATAGATATATAGATGAATTGTTACGTATATGGAATTAAATTACTTGTGTGCTAATTTTAAAATTCTTATTTCATTTTTGTTTCATTACATTAATTGTATTGAATAATTTTATCGGATTTAAAATTCTTTTTCGGTAATTATATATTTTCTTTTACTAAATGTTATTTATCTAAGAACTAAGAGGCAGAACGTGTTGCATGAGAATTATTTGTAGTTACTCTAGTTCGTCTTGGGCTGGCAAAAACGTAAACAGACGGTTAAATGATTGGTCGGTATTAGGACAATACTATCATAGCGTGATCACCATGTGTAAACAACGAAAATTAATTATTGGTTCTTAAGTTGGGATACACTGGCGTACGTGATGGATTTCTTGTAGTAATGGGAGCATATGATCAATCTCGCGAGACTTGAAATGATGTTTTGGGGGCTTAAGGACGCATGCTTAATATTCTTCTGGTAGATTCACTTTGACATCTTGAGGGAACAAGATGTTATTTTTATTTGTTGCCAGATAGTTTGTTTTCATCTGATTTTTGGATTTATTAATTTATTCTCCTAAAAACTCAACAAGTTGACTTCTTTATAAAACAATTTTGAAAGATATTTATGGAAATTTATTCTGGAATTGTTCGGAAACAAAAACTGTGAATCAATTGAGGAATTGTTGATATTCGCACATTGGACCACATCTGACGTCATCGCCTTCCATATTTGTACGTCGTCGAGTTTCGAACCTGGATTATTATAGAACTATTAAGTGATATGACTTGTGTTTTCTTTCTTAGGATCAAATATTGGATTATGTTCACAAACTGTAAGTCCTATTTAACATTTTTTACAAAATTTTCTAGGACAATAAATTATTTTGTTTAAATAAACAAAGCTTGATGGCTTTCACTCTTTTCTTTGTTACTGGGCAAGAGCCTTTGTCACAAAACAGGAGAAAATTGGGTTGCCAGTCCATGGGATATATGAATTTTGGTTAAATATTTCAGACAATTGTTTTTAAAATTTAAATTCCCCATGTCTTTAAATCCCAAGTACTATCTAATATTTTTAATCGAAATCTTAAGCGAAAACATCATGCTTTCATTTACAATGTCATCAAAAGTGGAAACAATTCTTTCTAATCCAACTCAGGAACAGCTGGATAGTCTGGGAAAAAAAGACGAATTGCTTGAACTTTGAACTTGCCACAAAGTACGATATTTCTGAAGCAATTGCAGATCACGCGTCAGGTGAACTTAATGTTACAGACATGGTGTATTTGCTTGACAGAGAGGTGTTAAATCCTGGGAGATTTCGTTAGAAGTCACAAGTTCACCCCAAATTTCCAAAGACTTCTATACATCCTCAGTTGTAAATTAGAAAGCCCGATGTGTCCATTCTATACATAAATTGTTCCCTAATCAATGCAAGACCACATATCTCACAACTTGCCAAAATATCCGCTCTTCTGTATGGGTTCTCTTCTTCAACTTTCTCTAATGTCAGCAGTTTATGCCATAGAAACTATACAACTATCCCCTAACCCAGTGCCCTATTTTCACTACGCAACCCTAGGCCATTCAATTCATGGCACATTTCGCCAGTACAACTGCAATACATTTTCCACCATGGCGACATGACGGTATTGGCAGAGTCCCTTCTTGTTTATTCCTTTTGTGTAATTTAATGGTTTTATTCCGTAAATACTGCCACTGCAGTCACACCAATAATGTACACCATTAGGTTTTAATAGGAACTAATGTACACCATGCACACTCATGTATGCGGTTTTGACCTGAATTCACTACAAGTCAAACATGGCATTATGGAAACTCACTAATACTTCACTCCATGACGTTTTCTCTTAGTAACTGGCTAATATTTCGGGCTAAGGAATATTTCCATTGCACCGAGTTTCAGTAGGGAACTTCGGAGATTCCCTGTATGATCTCACAACTAAGCGTTGACAGAGCTCTGGTTGGCAGAGCGTGGTATAAATAAAATATTTGCACAGTATGAATGCTGTATCAGTGATATGCTACTCGGGTAAATTTTCATCAAACAGAAACTTGGCTAACCCCGTTTCCTTGGTTTGTAATAGCTATGGACAATTATCCGTTTCTCATCATCATCATAAACCCATGATGCAGAAAAATGAGGAGATGCACGTTGTTGTCAGGTTTATCATTAAACTTTACATTCCTTTCTTGATACAAGGTCAAATGACAAAAAAGATGAAGAGAGAATTGTTTAACATTGTTTTGCTCATTATCAATTACAAAGCGATGCAACTTATCGTGGTTCCATCGTGGAAATTTGTATAAAATGTGGGTTGGTGTATTGTTTTGAAGTGCTTTAATTGCATATATTGGTATAAAAACCTATCCCGATCAATGATTACTGCAATATATTTCACTGTTAATAGTTATATATATATATATATATATATATATATATATATATATATATATATATATATATATATATATATATATATATATATATTCTGTTAAACAAGCGAATTCAATCGAATGTAGAGAAAGCCTATGGTTTTTCTGCCAACCTGACTAGGAAACCTCCCACGTGACTATGCCCTATAACGTCACGGCGAAGTTCCCTATAGTTAAACATGCAATCACACAAATCTCAGAATTCCTTAAAACGAGCCGCTATAACCAAATGCGCATACTCCAAATTTATTATACAGAGGCCACTAACGACAAAAAAAATATACGTAAGAAAAATTGCACGATTGACCTTACGGACTGTAATTCTATGCAATTACTTGACACCAGGTTGTGTACCAAGATTTTGAATATACATCATTTAGACCTAATTGCAAATACTTATAATGGTGTTGACTTGTTTAACGCAAGACGAGGTCAGACAAGAAGCGTATATTCTTCGTGTCTGATAGAATATATAAAGTAATAGACAAATATATAGCTGGAGTAAACGCCAATTTGCTACACAAAATAATGTCTTTGCTTTCAAAAATTGCAATCTTATCAAAAGATGTTTTATGTGTACAGACACATCTGATGAAAAGAATTAAATATTCCGTATTTTCTATTTGCACATAGA